CTGCCAAAGTGGAGTATCTTGCATTTGTCACTGTTGAACTTCATTTTGTTAGTTTTGGCCCATCTCTCTAATCTGTCAAGATCATTTTGAATTCTGCTCCTGTCCTCTGGAGTATTGGCTATCCCTCCCAATTTGGTGTCGTCTGCAAACTTGATGATCATGCCTGGTTTCTAACGTCTGCCTACAAGTTTGTTTGATTGTTTGCTTGTTTATCTATTTATTGCAGCACTTTTATCCCGCCCTTTTCAGCCCTTTTCAGCCTGAAGGCAACTCAGGGCAGCGTACAAACTGGCAACAATTAAATGCCACAACACACATACATACATCAGTTAAAAGCAGTTAAATTACATAATTTAATTCCTTGTTTTGTTTCACCTGGAGTCTAAAACAAAGTTCGCAAGCAAATTGTTTTGGTCCATGAATTACAGAAGCACTTTTCCCATCCATGGCTGTAAGAAATACAATGACTGTTGTTCTATACCATTTCCTACTTATAGTGGCTCTATGATAATTTAAAGAAAACTCTAAGAATTGAGTTTTCTTAGCCAGATTGGTCAGAAGGGGTTTCCCTTTGCATTATCTTGAGGCTGGAAAAATGTGACTTGAGAGTCATAATCCAATCAAAATACAATCTATATAAATAAAAATGTAATGTTCGTTTGTGGGATTAACAGAACTCAAAAACTATGGACGAATTGACACCAAATTTGGACACAAGACACCTAACAGCCCAATGCATGTCCTTCACTCAAAAAAAAAAAATGATTTGGTCATTTGGGAGTTGTAGTTCCTGGGATTTATAGTTCACCTACAATCAAAGAACATTCTGAACCCCACCTACGATGGAATTGAACCAAACTTGGCACACAGTTCTCCCATGACCAACAGAAAATACTGAAAGGGTTTGGTGGGTAGTGTCCTTTGGTTTTGGAGTTGTAGTTCACCTACATCCAAAGATGACTGTGGACTCAAACAATGATGGATCTGGACCAAACTCTACAAGAATGCTCAATATGTGCAAATGTGAACACTGGTGGAGTTTGGGGAAAATAGAATCTTGGCATTTGGGAGTTGTAGTTGCTGGGATTTGTAGTTCACCTACAATCAAGGAGCATTCCGAACCCCACCAACGATAGAATTGGGCCAAACTTCCCACACAGAACCCCCATGTGGGCCACAGCAATGCATGGCAGGGGACGGCTAGTGATAAATAAAGATGTTGAGAACACCAAGTAATTACTTGGTTGTAACAAAAAAGCATTCTGTATGCAATCAGATACACCTTTTCACAGTCAGAACTTTACCTGATTCCCAGTGGTAAATTCAGAGCTAAATGGTTCAGGCTCAGGCTATTTGACAAATCGCATCTCCTCTTATAACTTGGACACTGCGGTCAGCAGAGGAGGCCCTGCTCTCAGTCCCACCCCCTTCTCAAGTATGGCTGGTGGGAACGAGAGTAAGGGCCTTCTTTGTGATTGCTCCCCACCTCTAGAACTCCCTTCCTAAATAAACAAAATGGCCGTCTCCCCTCTCCCCTTTAAAAACAATTAAAAACCTATATTTGCTCATTAGCATATGGAGAGGAGGATTGGATGACTATACTGTAGCGTCTCATTTATCCACCATAAGCGGGCTGGTGGAACATTGGATAAGTTTAAATGTTGGATAATAAGGAGGTATTAAGGAAAAGCCTATTAAACGTCAAACTACACTATGATTTTACACATTATTTATTATTATATTTGAAACATTTATATTCTGCCCTTCTTACCTCAAAGCAGAGCACAGCATATATACGGCATATGCATTCCATGCCGGAACATAAAATAACTAAAGATATACACAAACACAAATTAAGCACCAAAACACAATGTTTTACAACAAATCGAGAGAAAAAGCACTTCAATACATGATAACGTTATGTAGTAATGAATTTATTTATTTATTTATTTATTTATAGCATTTATATTCCGCCCTTCTCATCCCACAGGGGACTCAGGGCGGATTACAATGTACACATGGCAAACATTCAATGCCAATTAGACATACAATGTATATAGACATACACAGAGGCTATATAACTTTTTCTGGCCACCAGGGGAGCTGTCGCTTTCATCGTCCATCTTTGACACTGACGAAGTCCTTCCACATTCCCCGCATGCTTTTGCTGGAGTGCTTTTTGCTGGAGTCTTTTTATGGCCTCATAAATTAGTTAATTAGCCTTCCCACACATAAAGGTAAAGGTAGTCCCCTGACATTAAGTCCAGTCATGTCTGACTCTGGGGTGTGGTGCTCATCTCCATTTCTAAGCCGAAGAGCCAGCGTTGTCCGTAGACACCTCCAAGGTCATGTGGCCAGCATGACTGCATGGAGCGCCGTTACCTTCCCGCCGGAGCGGTACCTATTGATCTACTCACATTTGCATGTTTTCAAACTGCTAGGTTGGCAGAAGCTGGGGCTGACAGCGGAAGCTCACGCCGCTCCCCAAAATCGAAACTGCGACCTTTCGGTCAACAAGCTCAGCAGCTCAGCGCTTTAACCCATAGATGGTACCTAATTTTCCTACTTGACAGATGCAACTGTCTTTTGGGTTGCAAAGGTCGACAACAAGCTACACAAAATTGGCTGGAAGCTCACTCCGACCCGGGCTGGCTTCGAACTCATGACCTTCTGGTCAGAGTGATCTTAATGCAGCTGATACTCAGCCAGCTGCGCCACAATCCCGGTGCAATTTAGCACCAAAACATTGCAATGTATTGAAACAGCTATGGATCCAGGCAGGAGGCAGATTGCATTGGATAATACAGAACGTTGGATGAGCGAAGGTTGGATAAGCGAGACTCTACTGTATATAGCTAATATACTTCTGACTGGAAATGACTATTGTACTCTGGCTTTGTTGGCTCTGTTGACAATACTGACTAGCTACATAATTTTAATTATCATTGTAACTGAACCTTTGGCAACTTTTTAAATTGATGTTTATGCTTTTTGTTAGATATAATTTAATTGTTAGGCCATGCTATTATTTAATTCTAGGTTGTATGTTAGAATTTGGTCTTAGATGTTGGTTTATTTTGGGATTTGGTTGGTTCGTTATTGCATGTGTATCTATGGTTGTGTCAAGGGCATTGAATATTTAACTTTTTTGCTTTTTGGAATCTGCCCTGAGTCCCCTTGGGGAGATAGAGCTGAATATAAATAAAGTTTTACTTTTTTTTGTTGTGTCAGGAGCAACTTGAGAAACTGCAAGTGGCTTCTGGTGTGAAAGAATTGGCCGTCTGCAAGGACGTTGCCCAGGGGACGCACAGATGTTTTGATGTTTTACCATCCTTGTGGGAGTCTTCTCTCATGTAATGAGGAGCTGGAGCTGATAGAGGAAGCTCATCCGCGTTCTCCCCGGATTCGAACCTGCGACCTGTTGGTCTTCAGTCCTCCCGGCACAGGGGTTTAACCCACTGCACCACCAGGGGAGCTTGTTAATCGAAAGGTCGCAGGTTCGATTCCGGGGAGCGGCGTGAGCTTCCGCTGTCAGCCCTAGCTTCTGCCAACCTAGCAGTTCGAAAACATGCAAATGTGAGTAGATCAATAGGTACCACTCCGGTGGGAAGGTAACGGCGCTCCATGCAGTCATGCCAGCCACATGACCTTGGAGGTGTCTACGGACAACGCTGGCTCTTCGGCTTAGAAATGGAGATGAGCACCACACCCCAGTCAGACATGACTGGACTTAATGTCAGGGGACTACCTTTACCTTTACCTTTATAAGTTTTACTCATCTCTATATATAAAAATGCTCTGTGCGTAATGAGTTCCTTAAAAACAAAAGAACTAATGAACAAAATCACACCAAATTTGGCAACAAAATGTCTCACAACACAAGGAGTGACCATCACTCAAAAAATTATGATTTTGTCATATGGGAGTTGTAGTTGCTGGGATTTATAGTTCGCCTACAATCAAAGAGCATTCTGAACTCCATCAACGATGGAATTGAACCAAACTTGGCACACAGAACTCCCATGATCAACAGGGTTTGGTGGGCATTGACCTTGAGTTTGGGAGTTGTAGTTCACCTTCATCCAGAGAGCACTGTGGACTCAAACAATGATGAATCTGGACCAAACTTGGCACATGCACTCAATACGCCCAAATATGAACACAGATGGAGTTTGGGGGAAATAGACCTTGACATTTGGGAGTTGTAGTCACTGGGATTCACAGTTCACCTACAATCAAAGAGCATTCTGAACCCCACGAACGATAGAATCAGGGCAAACTTCCCACACGGAACCCCCATGACCAACAGAAAATACTTAAGGCCATCCAATCTTGTTTTCTTGCCCTTCATCAGGGCAAGAAAACATAATCAAAGTCCTCCTCACAAAGAACCATCCAGTCATAGATATAGATAGAGATAGTTATGATTCACACACTCACAGATATAGTATCACAGATTTGAAAGGGACCCTTAAAGAAGGGCAATGATATGTTGCATGTTCCAGGGTGGGCAAACCAGACACTCTCCACATCAACACTGACAAAGAAACAGCAAGAAATACTGTTTACCCACAAGCAGAAAGACATTATATATCTTAGAAACCAACACTTTCTCATTACTTTATTTTCCAGATCAACAGACTGGGCCACAGCAACGCGTGTCAGGGGACAGCTAGTAGTTTTATAAATTACTATAAGTTTTACTTATTGTTTTATACATTACTATAAGTTTTACTTATAGTTTTATAAATAGAATTCTACTGAAGCTCTTTAGCTTTCATGGCAGCAACATTTTCTGTTTTGCTTAATGTGAAATATTTGGGATGAATCTGTTCCAAAAATGGTACTCTTTTGCAAATACACAAAGACCCTAATTTCTTCATTATCATCCCATAGGTTCAAATTATGCCTTGACATCATGCCTATTATCTTACCCATTCTCTTACCCACTGCTCCTTCTCCTCTGCCCAATTCCTGTTCCTTGGCCCTTTCCTTTCCAGCTATCGTTATGTGTATGCATTCCGCCCTTTTGGGTGGCGAGGAACAACGGATCCTGCTGGAGAAGGCAGAAGAATTGGACATGACGGATGGGACCTACGTTTTCATCCCTTATGATGCCCTGACTTACAGCATGCCCTACCAGAGGGAAATCTACACTGCGCTAGATGACAGCATCAAATTGCGCTTGGCCTATGATGCAGTGCTCACAATCACCATAGATTCGCCAGAAAACTCCTTTCGGGATGCCTTTCGGGAGGCTCAAGAGAAGAGGGAGATTCCCAGTCATCTCGATGCTGACAAGGTGCGCCACCAAGAAAAGGAACTGAATGGAGGGGAAATGGAGCTTGGGGAGATTATTGGAATGCAGAGAAAATATAAAGATGTTCAATGTATCATTGAAGGCTTTCATGGCCAGAATCACTGGGCTGTTGTAGGTTTTTTCGGGCTATATGGCCATGTTCTAGAGCAGTGGTTCTCAACCTGGGGTCCCCAGATGTTTTTGGCCTTCAACTCCCAGAAATCCTTAAAGCTGGTAAACTGGTTGGGATTTCTAGGAGTTGTAGGCCAAAAACATCTGGGGACCCAAGGTTGAGAACTACTGTTCTAGAGGCATTTTTTCCTGACGTTTCGCCTGCATCTATGGCAAGCATCCTCAGAGGTCTGTTGGAACTAGGAAAAAGGGGTTTATATATCTGTGGAATGACCAGCGTGGGACAAAGGACTCTTGTCTGTTGAAGCTAGGTGTGAATGTTTCAACTGACCACCTTGATTAGCATTTGATTGCCTGGCAGTGCCTGGAGCAATCTTTTGTTGAGAGGTGATTAGATGTCCTTGGATGTTTCCTCTTGAGAACACAGAAATGTTGGACCACTCCAACAACCAACATGTCAGACTCCACAGAGAAGCCATTGAAATCCACAAGCATGTGGACAATTTCAACAAAAAGGAGGAAACGATGAAAATGAACAAATTCTGGCTACCAATATTAAAAAACTCTAAAATTAGAACAGCACAACAACAGAGAGGAAACAAACAAGGACATCTAATCACCTCTCAACAAAAGATTGCTCCAGGCACTGCCAGGCAATCAAATGCTAATCAAGGTGGTCAGTTGAAACATTCACACCTAGCTTCAGCAGACAAGAGTCCTTTGTCCCACCCTGGTCATTCCACAGATATATAAACCCTTTTCCTACTTCCAACAGACCTCACTACCTCTGAGGATGCTTGCCATAGATGCAGACGAAACATCAGGAGAAAATGTCTCTAGAACATGGCCATATAGCCCGAAAAAAAACATACAACAACCCAATATAAAGATGACCTGTTACTACAAACTTCAGCAAAAAATACCAATTACAATAATGATGAGAATACCAAACTAACCAGTATTGTACAGCAGCGGGGAAACAAGCGCATAAGGGACTATTTACAACAGTGTAACCAACATAATATTCAATTCATGTTTGAATGTTATCAAAATAATTAGTCTTGAGAATACGTCTTGGGAATATGCTCGGGGGTCGCATAACTAGCATATTCCCAAAATGTATTCTCAAGATTTTTTTATTATGTCTTGAATTTATATGGGACAGTACTGGATGTGTTGAAGTTTATCCACACAACTTATGGAAGATCCGACTAATTATTTTGATAACATTCTATCATGAATATTATGTTGGTTGCACCATTGTAAATAGTTCCTATGTGTTGTCGAAGGCTTTCATGGCCGGAATCACTGGGTTGTTGTAGGTTTTTTCGGGCTATATGGCTATGGTCTAGAGGCATTCTCTCCTGACGTTTCACCTGCATCTATGGCAAACATCCTCAGAGGTAGTGAGGTCTGTTGGAACTAGGAAAAAGGGTTTATATATCTGTGGAATGACCAGGGTGGGACAAAGGACCAGGGTGGGACAAAGAGGAAACAAACAAGGACATCTAATGACCTCTCAACAAAAGTTTGCTCCAGGCACTGTCAGGCCATTATATGCTAATCAGTGTGGTCAGTTGAAACATTCACACCTAGCTCCAGCAGACAAGAGTCCTTTGTCCCACTCTGGTCATTCCACAGATATATCAACCCATTTTCCTAGTTCCAACAGACCTCACTATCTCTGAGGATGCTTGCCATAGATGCAGGCAAAACGTCAGGAGAGAATGCCTCTAGACCATGGCCATATAGCCCGAAAAAACCTACAACAACCCAATTCCTATGTGATTGTTTCCCATACTGGTTAGTTTGATATTCTCATCATTATTCTAACTGGAATTTTGGCTGAAGTTTGTAGTAACAGAACATCTTTATATTTTCTCTGCATTCATAGATATCTGTGTAGTTAGTGTAGTGTAGTGTAGTTATTAGAATCCCAAATCTCTTGTGTTTGGAGCTTCTTGTCTTACATATGATCAATACTTCATTCTTAGCTGTGAATGTGGCATTGAATTCAGCAAGTATTCAAACAAATAGGTTATAGATTTCTAGCCTATATTAAAGAAGTATATTCTGGCGTATAAGACTACTTTTTAACCCAAGAAAATCTTCTCAAAAGTCAGGGGTCGTCTTATACGCGGGAGTCGTCATGTGCTGGAGTTGTCTTATACGCCTTATGCATGGGAGCCATCTTATATGTGGGAGTAGTCTTATACGCCGGGGGTCGTCTTATAGATGAGTGCTGAAACTTCCAATCTGGATTGTAGCATCTGTGGTTGCTGCATATTGTGGGGGGAGCTCAAAAATGCAGTGGCTGCGTCCCTGCCATATGCAGTGACTGTATGAAAGCATTACAAGTATGGTAGAAGAAAATTCATTCATCAGGATTTGTGGACTTAATGCGGTCCCGATGGTGAGGTGAAGGGGCGCCTCACCATGAAGGTGAAGGGCGGAGCAAGCTGCAGGTGTCCAGGGCGCCCGGTGTATGGAAAAAAGAGAGAGAGTGGCTCTGGGCGCAGAAAAATACAACTCTTTTACCTGTCTGGCCTGCCCTTGTATCCTATTACCGTACCTCCTCCTCAGCCTCTCAGATCTCGCTCCTGAAGACTGCAGTGAAGTGGTGCAAGTGCGCATGTGCGAGATCTGAGGCAGAGAAGGAGGTATAGTAATAGGAAAATTATCATATTGAAATCAAATCTGATCCTTTTAAAAATTTTATTTGGTGTGTGTTGGAAGAGGGCTAGTCTTATACGGCGGCGAGTATATACCAAACTCTATATTTTAACTAGAAAAGTTGGGGGTCGTCTTATGCGCCCAGTCGTCTTATATGCCGGAATATATGGTAGGTCCTTATTTATTTTGTTCTTGTTTGTAAGAACAAAACAGAGTTTTTTGTCCCTGTGGTTTCTTGTCTTTTCC